CTAGATCTGCCAGTTATTACCATTTTGCCTCATTTGCTCTATCTTTTTAATATAAAAACTTTTTTCCTGACCTTCTGAAAGTAAGTTGCAGACATCATGACACTTCAGTATCTATTTCCATTGTCTTTCTTTAGCTTCCTTGGGCTTTTTTTGGTTTCTGCAACGTGTGAATTCGTGTATTTCGGCATTTTTGGAAAATTATTGATCACTTTCTCTTTAAATATTGCCTCTACCCCCTTTCTTTCTCCTTACCCTCTGGGACTCCAATTAAATGTATCTTAGATCTCTCTATGTATCCTCTATGTTCCTAGTCTAATTCTGTATTTTCTTTTCTTTTGTCTTCCATGCTGTATTAAGGACAAGACAATGTCTTCCTATGTATCCTGTAGTTCACTCATTCTCTCTTCAGCAGTGCCTATACGCTTTTTCACCAGTTTATTGTGTTCTTAATTTTGGTGTTGGTATTTTTCAGTTGGACGAGTTCTATGTGGTTCTTTAAAAATTCTGTTGTGACACTTCTTAATAGAAATAGAAATATTTGCCTGCAGATATTTTTACACTTGTCTTTATCTTCTTTAAACACAATAAGCAGTGTTATGTTATGGTCGGTATCAGATAATTTCAGCATCTTAAATCTGTGTGGGTCAATCTGTGCTTATATTGTTTGCAGTCAGTTTTTTTTTCTTTCTTAATTATATTTATTTTTAGCTGTGTTGGGTCTTCGTTGCTGTGTGCGGGCTTTCTCTAGTTGCTGTGAACAGGGGCTACTCTTTGTTGCGGTGCATGGGCTTCTCATTGTGGTGGCTTCTCTTGTTGAGGAGCCCAGGCTCTAGAGCGCAGGCTCAGTAGCTGTGGCACAGGGGTTTAGTTGCTCCGCTGCATGTGGGATTTTCCCGGACTGGGGTTCAAACCCGTGTCCCTTGCGTTGGCAGGCAAATTCTTAACCACTGCACTATCAGGGAAGCCCTGCAGTTAGTTCTTGTGCAAGGTTTCTTGTTTCTTTGTGTGCCTGATTATCTTTGACTAAGAGCTGGATATTGTATCTGAAAAAATATTTTTAGAAATAATTTGAGGCCTTGGATGAGAGTACATTCTTTCAGAAAGGATATTGCTTGGTCCCAAATATGCTTCTTTCTGCTAGGTGACTAGGGGCATTATAAGGATGGGTCCACTTAATCCAAGTTCAAGGCTTGAGCGTCCCTGGACCACCTGGATAATATGATTCTGGACTACTAGTCCACAGAAGTTAGGATCCCATCTTAAAGTGGGCATGTATTGGTAGTAGGGTATCTGACTTCTACCTTGGGCAGGCTCTGGGTTTTGATTTTGACCTTCCCCACCAAAGGCCACCAAACAACAGCTTAGCTTCACAGTTATATCTTCCAGATCAGTAAATGTCCCCAGGACAAAAATTGCCCTGAATTCTGGGCTTACAGCTCTGGGCTTCAACCTCTTAAATGTTAGCTCAGGAATTTGTCACTATACTACTAGCTTGTCAATGCTTTTAAGTTTTTTTTCACTTCCTCTGTTTTTTTAGTTTGTATTCAGTGGGAAGGTTGGAATTAAATACCAAATCAGGTGGGCTTCCCTGGTGGTGCAGTGGTTGAGAATCCGCCTGCCAAGGCAGGGACACAGGTTTGAACCCTGGTCTGGGAAGATCCCACATGCTGCGGAGCAACTAAGTCCATGAGCGACAGCTACTGAGGCTGTGCTCTACAGCCCCCGAGCCACAACTACTGAGCCTGTGAGCCACAACTACTGAAGCCCACGTGCCTAGAGCCCGCGCACCGCAACGAAGAGTAGTCCCCGCTCTCTGCAACTAGAGAAAGCCCGCACGCAGCAACGAAGACCCAACGCAGCCAAAAAGAAAGAAAGAAAGAAAGAAAAGAATTTTTTTT